CCTAATTATAATCAATATGAATGTTGAATGTTTGAATCAAAAAATGAGTACAACAAGAAATTTAAAATAAACAAATATATCTTATACATTACATTTCGTTTACAGAAGCACTAAATAGTGACAATGAACAATTGACTGATTCACGACGTTATAGTTCTGCAAAATAAAGTATAAAACAACATATCATAAGTACTAGTTTGATGTAATTTTTATTAGGCCAGAAACCTATTAATCGTGTGAATTATGACGGGAAAAATATATAATACACTTAAGTTACAATATCAATTCAAAATTTTGAAAGTTGTCAGATCTAATTATCAATATTCTTAATAAGTTAGAAGAAATACTTGATATAGGTCGCAAATATCTGATTATATTCGCCGATAACAGGCGTTAAAACGCTGTGTAAATATCGATTAAGAAAATCAATCACATTTTCCCGGTTTACCGGAAGCACAGTTCACGTACATCGGCGTTACCAATAAATAAAAACGGCTTGAATCAATTTTAATCAGTATTGTTATTTTTCTAATAAAGAAACTTAATGTATTCACTTCCTAACCCAAAAACGAAATTATAGGACTTATCATTGTTGTACTTATAAGAGCACGTTGGAAATCCTGTTAGGTATCCGCCATTTATTGCACAATTCTGCGTTACTTATTGCATGAAATGGTGCGTTATTTTCACATTCCGGCGTTCCTGGATAACAATTGAAAATAAAATGTGATCATTTACTTTGTAACCGAGCTCTATTTTTTGTGTTGACAAGACAAGAATACATACATGGTAATGTGGGTCAACATTTACTTACGTAGAAAAATCGATGGCTCGAGATGTATCTTCTCGAAAAAAGATATGTGAGAAGGTTCCTTAGATAAGCTTTGAAAGTTTCTTATTGTTCTATTCTGGATTTTACACATCTTTCAGGTTAGGAACTCCCGTTCCTATCATATTTTCTTATGTATGAGTTAGTTAAAATTTAAGAATTTGCATGTTAAAGAGTTCAAATGATTTACAAAACGGAAAAAAAGATAATAGCCAACGTAAATATTCTAGAATATCTTTGACGCCATCTAGGATATCTCAGTTTTGAATCAGGGTTGGGTAAAATGAATATCCAGTCCAAAAACAACAGATCCATACGATTATTGTGGTAATTGAACTTTGCTGTTGGTTGACATAGACCAGTTGCTTCTCTAATTAGGCAGAAAAGATGTCTGATTGCAGCACGAATGTAAGTTGTCAATGAAATTTAATATACTTTTAATTCTCAGAAGTTCAAATCTTTAAAGACAAATGTTGCCTTTCTTGTTTCAGATTTTGATGAAGCAGAAAATGGCCATAAGTATCAATTATTAATGGATTTCAATATCAACATTTTTCTCATGGTTTAAGCGCTCATGGGGCCGGGCAAATGTACAGAAATAATTCATAAAGAATATCCTTGGCAAATTTCCGGTGAAAGACCAAACGAAAAAAGCTTAAAGGACTATAACTTAATAATATGGTCTTAATGGGAATATTTGCGTTCAAATATTAAGCTTGATTTACCAACATTTAAATATATAAAACAAACATACTCAATTACAATAAAAGATGCATCCAAGCCTTCGGAAAACAACGACAATAAGTTCGGTTCCATCATTACAATACGCTTCGTTATTAGAAATGAATGTAGTGTACTTTTCAAAATTCAAAATATAAGTTAATTGATGCAAACCTAAAAAAGCTTCTTGTGAATATTTCAGTTACATGGACCTTGTCTTGTACGTCTATTCTGCTTAAAATACTTTACATATGAATATTACATCAATACAATAATGACATTTAGACCAATTTTAATCATTTATTAAATTAATCGAATCATTAAATTACTTGGATATCATTTTAGCTATCATTTACTAAGTAAGGGATCAGTTTTCTTACTGTCAAATTGTCACCGAAATCTTCATCCCGATTCGATATATTTACATCTTTTTATATATCTATTAACATCGATCAAATTCACATCGAACAATTTTAAAACTGTTTAAATTACTGCCATATTTAAGGGGAATAATCTACGAACGTTCGAAGAATTAAAAACGGTAATGTCTGCCATCTAATGATTATCATATTTTGTGTGAGGTTCAAAAGACAACCGTATCATTGGCAATCACTTATGCGTATATCTCAGTAAAACAGGAATTTACTCTCACATGTTAAATGACTACGAAAAATCGGGGGGGGGGGGGGGAAGGGATTAAACTTATTATACGGTTGACGATTTTTAACGATTTGTATTGGTGTCGTAACAAGATCTATGAATACTCCACGTAAATTTCCTTGCCCTGCCCTATGTCGCCTTATTACATAAAAATTGTTAATAATTCTCATTCATCTATTAATGATAAATATAAAAAATCTAAACTCTTACTTAGCGCGTCAGCGATATACTAACTAATTTTTGTTACCCATCCTATTTTATTTTAAAAATTGAATCTTTAAAGTAATACATTGGATTGTTACAATTGTCCTTTAAATTAGAAAAAAAATTCCTCTTTTTTTATTAATTATCGGGTTTAGGATATTATGTACTTTACTTCTGATTAAATTCTAATTGGGTTAGGTTAACCATGCCGCTTTTTTACAGAATTCTGAATTATAATGAATACTATTTACAATATCCATTATATTTAGACCAAAATAATATTATGTTAGAGTGACAAAAAAAAATGTTGCTCAAATTTTGAATTCAATTTTTCAGGTGGATAATAGAACAATCTGTACAAACGCAATGGACTTCATTATTATAATGTATTTGTCGAGATTCGAATGTATATAAATTTAATAGCAGGCTGTTTCCGATATCCTTGCCGAAAGTTATTCTTTTTGTATACAATATGTTGATCGAGAAAAGTACTACATTGAAAAATATTACATTGGAATTGGCAATTTTGCTACAGCATGCTAGTTATTATTTAAATATTGAAAATAAACCAAAACTTTAGCTAATTACCTATAATCTCGGTCAGTCTTAGCGTCAAGCTAATGTACGAAGATACCCACCGATTTTTAATTAATTATAAGAACATGCCTAAATTTTATGAACAATTATTATCTTTTTGTTCTGAAATAATTGCTGATTGTTAATGTTGTTACACAGATTTATTAGATTTAACGTGTTTCTGTTACCTGAAAGTTTAACTAAACTCATATAAATAATAACCTGTATGTTATTGTGTGTGGCTTAGTGGTCATCGCTAGTGCGCATATGTATTGCAAACAGTATTGTTTAACAATTTAAACGAAAACGAAATTACGGAAATTGGTATAAACAGAGAATGATAATATGTTTATATGTTGTGGATCGGATCGGAATCCCCGTCCCGAGGGGACCCGCCTCATTTGCGGCAACGAGACTTGCCAGAGTTATAGTCCACTGACGTGTTCCTGAAGGAGTGGATATTTCAACCAACCGCAAACATATGTCAGATATATTTGCATGCATAGTCTACCACCTAATTGCAATCATATTGAAAATAGTTTCCTAAAACCAAATTTCCGTGAAAAATTTATGTCATGATACCTGTAACTCCAACTCGTTAAGTAATATGATACAGTAGTGATAATAATGTGCAATTTATTATACTACGTTGCGAGTTTTCCTTACATATCATTTATTTTGACAGATTTTTAACGATCCTATTCACTGGTAATATAGAGGTTAGAGCCCTTGTTAGTGAAGATTTGTAGATACACCACAATTTCAACGTCTACGATCATTAAACAACTTGGTGGGCCTATTTTCGTATATCCAGGCGCATCCACATAACAGGTCGAACACTCGATAGGGTAAGTGTTTTTGTGATAGTTTGTATGCCGGCAGAATAACGCTATACCCATAATGTTTCTGCTATTTAGCCGTAAAAAAACAAGATACAACGGAAGTTATGCAAAAATAAAAAAAACATGTATTTAAGTGTGCAACATAATTTGCCGACAATGAAATGACTCCATCAAAAAAAAACTTCTTAACGTGTAGATAGACAAACTTTGTCAAACATTTATTAAGTCGAACACTTAATATTAAGATTTTGAAGGAAGTATGGCGTAGTAGCCTGCCTCATTAGGACGACGTCACATCTGGTAAAATTCTAAGCGAGATCTAGATACAATCAATCAACTACTGTAATTAACCGCTTTTATGGCGGGTCGTTTTTGAAAGTCCATGGAGAATATATATACAAAACCAAATATTTTGTTCGTTTTGAACTACATGTATTATATAAACCACAAATGAATGAAAAGTGTCATTTAAACTTTATCTAGTTTAAGTGCAAAGTAGGCACTTGAAGGTAAAGTGTCATTCCTCTTTTGCAATGTGTAGGGGTCACTGGTATATCGTTTAATGGAAGTGTCCTTCACCCTCAGCAACGAAATGACAGGGAGGAATAAGGCTTATATCACAAAAATCATCAAAAATTGCAATTGAAGAATTAGTATCAGAGAATAATGTGCACTCGTCACCAGATTACGTTCGTATTACATAATAACATGACATAATTGATCATCTAACCTTAACAACCACCAACTCTCCTATAGCTCGGGGGTGTTCCAGAGGGTAAAGTTAACACTAAGAAAGGATCTTTTTATTAAAGGAAACATTTTAAAAACATTAAGCCACTCGCTATTCGCTTCATTGGGAGTTCTTAATTAAAAAATCACTTAATAAACAGTCACATATATTTAATATTACCTTTCATCTGTCCTTTTTTCGTCACGAAAATTTGTCACTCTCGGCTTTCGCCTTTTGTCATTGGTAAACAGTGAAAATGGCTTATACATGTATAATCAGTAACTAAAATTTTGTCTTGCATATTATCTGTAAAGACAAACATAGCCATATTATATTTTCTATAATTAAAAACTGTTAACTAGATAAGTACGTGCATCCGTGCTGACAAAATATATTTAAACATATATTTAGATTTCTATAATATTCTATTACATAAAAGTGTGTGCCACTTAGCGGGACGTCTAGTAGGAGCTCTAAAAGAGCAGATATCGAATTCAGAGATCAAGATTACAAAGGAAGACGAACTTTGTGTTAAAATCGCAGCTTTATGCCATGATCTTGGTAAGTGTTTTTTGAACAGATATTATTGCTTCTGTTGATGGTGGTGGTAGTGGTGGTGCTGTTGTTGTTGCTGCTGCTTAAGACATTATGAGCATGTAATTGTGATATGCCGTTGTAATGACCGTGGGATGGTGATAGTAATAATAAAAATGTGTAGCAATAACTGTGGGTTAAAATAGGTGTTCATGTTCTCATGTCTTGCAAATATTTCAAAATGAAATAATTATCTGTAATATGAACTATGATAAAGCATAAATTGTTTATGTTATAGTGGTTATTAGTCCCCTATCGGTTTACCGGAGGGGACTTTAGGTTTACCCTCCGTCCGTCTGTCTGTCTGTCCGTCTGTATGTCAGTCCGTCAGTCCGTCCGTCCACAAAACTGGATCCCGCGATAACTTGAAAAGTACTGAAAATATTTTTATGAAACTTGATATATGGATATATGGCAGTATGGAGATTATGCACGTCTTTTTTTTCATCCTATGTTGAAAATTCTGGTTGCTATGGCAACAAATACACTGAAAATATGGCAAATTTTACAAATAAACTGGATCCAGTGTTAACGCAAAAAGTAATAGAAATATTTTTATGAAACTTGTAATATGGCAGTCTGGAGATTATGCACGTCTTTTTCTTTTCTTCCTTTTTTTGAAAAGTCTGGTTGCTATGGCAACATATAGACTGAAAATATGGCAAATTTTACACATAAACTGAATCCAGTGATAACTCAAAAAGTACTGGAAATATTTTTATGAAACTTGACATATGGGTAGATGGCAGTCTTGAGATTATGCATGTCTTATCTGTTCATCCTATTTTGAAAAAAAATTGGTTGCCTTGGCAACAAATAGGCTTAAAACATGGCAAATATAACAATATTTGTGATTTGTCAAAAAGAGCTGAAATTTTTTATGAATTCATGTGTTATCTCCTCTTTAAGATATTTGCTTTTAAAACTGTTATATTTTGGTAACAGGGATGTTTCAAATAATAACTTTAAAGTGTCCCCCAGTCCGTCTGTCTGTCTGTTCATAAAAACTGTTTCCTATGATCACTTTTAAAGAACTTTTCCAACAAATTTACTTAAAATAGAGAAAAATTGAAACATTAGTGAATGGCCAATGGCCCTTCAGAATGTTGATGGGGTTTTAACCGGTAGGGGACTTATGGATTGCTTGCAATACTATGATAATTGCTTGTAATTATAAGGAAATGGATATGAAATTGCATTGTTCTGTAAGTTGAAAGTTTTGTAATTCACAAGTCTAAGGTCAACTTCATGTATGCCGTTTCTTTATTACCTTTTATTTTATTTTTATTTATTTTTATTTTATTTTGTTTTAATTTTTTGTAGGACATGGACCATTTTCTCATGTATTTGATGAAAAAATAATTCCCAAAATTTTGGAAAATGAAAAAGTCAAAACCGATAAAATATGGAAGGTATGGTTTAATGCGCCACATTAGATGACGAACATTTTAATTGATCAAGTGACTAGAGGAACATTATGTAAAAGGAACAAAGTATTTTACAAAGCTCGATATTCTTATTACACATATTAAGTCTATGACTGGATCTAACATAAACGCTACTTATTTAACTTGCACTTACTATTGTTCTGAAACGATACCTTTAATTTCTTTTTTGACTTGATGTCTACCAACCATAATTCAATAAACCTTATGTTTGTTACTAAATAATAACACGAACCCATTGAAACGAGTTATGAGCTACAGTAAGTCTGAGTCTGGCAGTATTACATTTAAAAAAAATTATCTTCTGCTTGTTAACTCTCCATTTGTTTCGAAATGTGCATTGATAAATTGTGTAATGAATATTTCTATCACATGTTAAGTTCTAAAAGAAAGAACTGCTCTGACTAAACTATATTTTTAATCCCTCTTTGTTGTATGCTTGAACTTACCTCAGACAATGATTTGCCATTTTTGTTTTCGGCTGCTAACATAATATGTATACATTTACTGTTCAAAAAGCAGTCTCGGTCATCAGCAACTTATTTTGCTATGCTCATTATCACTTTTGAAATGATCATACCTTGTTAACTTTGAAAGATTAGGTTTTGAATCGAGGACATAATTGCTCGAAAAATAAACCAAGTGACCAGATTGTTTCTGTTTCAGTCTGTTTTACAGTTCACTTGTATAAACACTCAAAAAATTACCACCTTTTGCTGTATCTCTTAATTGATATTAAGAGATTAGAAATAAACTTGAATGCTATTATTTGCTTTATCTAGCACGAACAAGGCTCAATTGATATGTTTGATCACATGTTGGAAGAAAATAAGGACCTGGAGGAGGAATTCAATAAACAATTATCAGAAAAAGATAAAACATTTATTAAGGAGATGATTGCTGGACCACAAGATAAGAATAACATGGGTGTGACAGATAAAGTGAGTGTATAACAGTTTTCCTTCTTAAGATAATGATGAAATTATAAATTGAATCAAATATTTTAAAGCTTGAAAGCCTTTTCGAGAATTCCAAAATTTTTATGTTTCATATTTTGATACGTGCTCGAAATAATGCACATGGTTGAGGTTGTTTCTGCCCATCCGTGAGGAGTTTTGTGACACCTCTATAACTATTGAACAAGGGACGGAAACGAATCAGATCGGAATCATCACTGGTGAAATATAGGAAGCCATAGTGCCTAGCATTTAGATATGTGTATTATATTGCTTAATGTTCAAAACATGATTTAGACATGTTTTACGAATGGGTTTGATCCCTATTTAATTACTCAAACACATTTGTATTCGAATATGTATTGCCCCTTCCTTTGCGTGGCTCTTGTTAGAGTTTACATGCAGAACCTAGACATAAACACACACACACTTTTAGATAATACTATTTTCTATTGCTTCATGTGTCAATGTGTCCTTGACTGTAGCCCGAGGATTTGATACAACTAAAAACCTACTCAAACAAATATGTTGTTCAGTGTTTTAAATTTTGTCATTTCGTTTAATTTTGATATGGCAGAAATGAATGATTAAGTTGTGAAGCATATAATCAATGCACTTTTAAAAGTAAGGTACATGAAGCCAATTAATTATAAGGAGTAAATTATTGAACTATATACAATTAGGATTCATCTCTCTTGTTTTGATTTTCTTCAGACGTGGCCGTATGAAGGCAGAACAAAACAAAAGGCATTTCTTTACGAGGTAAATTATTGTATATACAAAACTATTAAATACTGTTTACGAATACATGCAATATTTCTTTCTTGAAAATACTTATTATTACAATTTTATTAAAATATAGATGCTTGAACCAAGATGTCACGTAGTTTGTTCCCACTTTATTTTCATTGACAATCTTTACGTGTGCAAACGCGTTAAATGATTGAAATTATCTATGATTTTTACGCTGAGATAAAAATATTGTATTTATAGCACGGTACGCATTTAACGATAAAATGCACGTGCATTAAGCATAATTATCAGAATTATTGATACGTCTTCCCAAAACACTTTCAATCAGATATAAGTGGCATGAAAGCAGACTCAAAGTAATTTTTAGAAAACACAAAATATATAAAAGCATTAATTTCTCTGTTTTGTTTAACTTACATGTTTGTTATTCAAATGTTGAAATACCTGTGGATGTGTACCCTAACATGTGTTTGTATTCCTGAAAGTATAACAATCATAATTCATCAGATCGTTATTAACACTACACAAATGTAAATATTTCAGATTGTTTCAAACAAACGTAATGGTGTTGATGTTGACAAGTGGGACTATTTTGCACGTGACTGTCATAGTTTGGGTATTGGTAACAATTTCAACCTTAATCGATGCATTGCGTTCTCAAGAGTTATAGAAGTTAATGGTGAACAACAAATATGTTATAGAGACAAAGTAAGCAATTACCTATATCTTGACTTAATAAAACCGACCGAAAATTGACAGACTCAATAAAACTGAGTCTGCAATTCTCTTGTAATTTTGTTGTGATTAATGCTTCCGAGGGATCACACTTTGTTCCCAGATTTTAATACTTCACAACAGCAGGTGTCAAGTGCTGTGTGGCAGCTGTAAAAAGTTGCCCCGGACTTCACTTCAGTGTTGTAATACTTTTCTGGTCCTTCGGGATCATTGATGCCAGCACTATTAAGTGTTGAGAACCGAGTACCGCTCAAGCCGATGCTAGTGGGCGTTAGGGATGTTGCACTTATTCAGTATCCCTCATGTTCAGACTCAATAAAACCGGGTCTGCATTTCTCTTGTAATTTTGGTTGTGATTAATGCTTCCGAGGGATCACTTTGTTTCCAGATTTTTTAATATATTATAATAATCTTAATTAAACTTATGTCATGCATTTACGTAACAACTGATTCCAGACCATAAAGGCTTCGTTTAATTAACACTTTATATTCACATGTAGTTATTAAATACACAATATAATTTGCTTTGACACAAACCTTTGCATGCTGTTTGTGTAAATATGTCAAGCTTACTATATATCACACAATTAAGTTTAATTTTATGAACTAGGGTACCATCCATTGACATGAAATTTGATGTATGAATTTATCCGACTGTTTCTATCTGTAAATGATTTATATTTACAATCTATTGGTAGGAGGTACATAATCTGTACGACATGTTCCATACCAGACTTCTACTACACCAGAGGGCATACCAGCATAAAACAAGCAACATAATTGAGTACATGTCTGTAGCTTACTTATTATTTGCTTACTTACTTATTGACTGGTGATTTAGAAATACTCGTCCATATCAATATTGTCATTAATAGTGTTCATACTGTTATATTATTAGTTATATGTAAAAATTTTGTAATACTGCAAGCCATCTTTTTAGAGAAAAAAGTGAGATTTCATGAATTGCCAGCAGCCATTTATATAACACTAAATAAACGTCACGATTATCAAATGAAAAGTGTTATCACTTGCGGTAGTTTCCTGCCAAATTTAGAACGAACTGGCTTTTGGTTTTTACCCCTTATTATGTATTGCAAATACCACTGTAGGAAAATATCAAACCAATTTTCATTAAATAAAATGCAGTTAAATGCTTATAAGTATCAGTTACACGTTTTTATCAATCAAAACATATTTGTTATTTATGTTTCAGGCTTACCGAAGCTTTAGTGCTGGCAAACAAGTCTTTAAAGTTTCAGGGCAAACACGGGTAAAATAGTTCTTCGTGTTCTATGAAATATCACTTATAAATGCCAGGCCTGAAATAAAATTTAATTTGTTTCCCCTTCCCAACCTACCCAACAAATTTTTTTCAAAGATTTTTTTCAAGTTTTTAGGGGATAAAAGTACAAAAGCCACAATCTAAACTGATATTTTAGATAGCTAGCATAGTTAATAAAATGTTGCATGTCAGTTGTGAATATTGTAATAAAAGTACATATACTATTGCACTTAATGAATTATTTGTAATAGTTCATTATACATATATGGAGATTTTTTACTATTATCCCCATACAAAAAAATAATTTTCCTACCTACCTACCCAACCCTAATTTTAATGGATCGGGAAGGGGAAACAGACATAATTTTATTTTGGCCTCACTTAATATAGGACTAATAAGCTTGCTATTTCTTTAAGAAAAACGCTATTGCTCCTTCATGTTGTTGACGTTGTTGTTACCGTTATCATTGCCGTTGCCATCAGAAAACATTGACTTTGGTCATTCTTTATTTATTTCTGAATAAATTGCCTTAATACTTGGACACAACAATCTTTCGGACAAAACCTTCAAGGTGACCAGACTGAACTTGATCTTCATTCTTAAATGTTCTTGACCTTCAAGGCCTAATGTTTGATTTTTGCTTGATTGAAGCTATAATTGGCGATAACTTTGTTATTAACGAATTGATTGTCTTCATATTTATGCAGAACTACCCTAAAGGCAATGTATTGAAAAGGATAACCATGACCCTAAAGGTCAATTTATTGTAATTTCTAAGTTTGTTTGCTATAATTGGCTTTAACCTTGTAATTTTTAATTATTTTCTTCATACATGTGCACAACAATTCTTGGGACAGGACACTAAAAATTTTTGATTGACCTTGACATTAATTGGACGTTGAAAACTTAGGTCAACTAAGTGATTTTTGCCACAATTTTGCCATAACTTTATTATTTAGAATCTATATATGGAGTTGATTAACATGATACCACATGACAAAACCAACATTTCGAACTATTATGAGATAAATTTGACTTAACCGTCAATGTCAGTGTAGATTTGATTCATATTTACACACACACAAAAAAACATATGTAAAAAAAGACATGTGGACTATTCTGATTTGACCTTGACCTTTAATTGGCAATGATCGTCAAGTTCAAATGATTGAAATTTGCTTAAATTGTCCAAACGTTGTTATTTATTTACATATTTGATTCATACTGCGACAAAATTCTACATATTACAAACCGAAATGTGGAATTATTCTCATATGACCTGGACCTTTAATTCATCCTCAACGTCAAATGTTTGTTTGCTTATTATTGTTTGATTAAATTGTGATAACTTTGTTATCTAATGATGGCTTTGATTCGACCTTGAACAAAAAAACACTTGTGTCAAATCGGACATGTTGAATTATTCTGATTTGACACTCAAGTTCAAATTATTGAAATGTACTTAAATTGTCATAATTTTTCTATGTATGTATGATTCATTCTTGGACAGGACAAAAGAACACATTCTGCAAAACTGACCAGATTATTAAAGACACATTATTACTCAGGAATCCATATTTTTCATCTCTTTAGAAATATCAAACATGTGTTAATTAATGTTTTAATAATTGATTTAGAGCATATAAGATGTTTAACAACTGAAAAAAGTTGCACTGAATGTTGCAGTAATATGTCATAAAAGTAGGTAATGTAAACGAAGTATTATTTTAATTTGAAGTTCTATACAAAATACTTATTAACCATACATAGTAATTATACCCATTTCCAACAGTGCAAATGAAGTAAAATATAGTTTATCTATGTGGCAAATGAATATTTTTGAAAACTGTTATGAGATACCAAAGACAAACTGGTTTTGAGAAATAAAAATGATAACATTTCTGGGCCGTAACTGTCATTTAAAAATGTTTTTTAGGAGGGAGCGCTATTATGAAGGTTTTCCCGTGTTATAACGTCTGCAGAGTCCCGAAGAACGTTTGGTGCCCGAGCCCGGTAGGGCGAGGGCTCCAACAGTTCCGAGGGACTCTGCAGACTTTATAACACGAAATAATCCTTGTGCTTGGACAGTATTTAACCTTTTCTACATGTTTGACGTATGCGTTTTATTTTTCCGGGACCAACAACTGCTAAGAACCGAGCGAAATTTCGAATTTTAATTAATTGAACAAAGCTTAACAATAGATTTATTATCTCAAGAAAAAAAACAACATTAAATTACTCTACCCAAGACAAAACATGACCCTCAGAAAATCCTAGAATGATTTCAGATTGACGGTAGAAAAAAGATCAGTGACATCAGAATCGTTTTTGTTTTCCAGCACACAAGTTTATAAAAATCAGGCACTGAACATTATTCTTTCAAAGAAATATAAAGAGCATTTATAAATATTAACATCAATAAAACAACATTTTTTATATTCATTATGTGCTATCTTGTTTTGTAAGTTAATCGGAGGGTTAAACAGAATGGCAGATATTTGTTTACATTAACAACAGTCCGTTTCTTAGAAAGGGCGACAACCAACATTAGTGGCGATGTCTATACGCAGTATTTCCGGCATAGATGCTTGAATGCTGCTCGCCGTTTTGTGATTGAGGCCCCCGAATCAATAATTTCAATATAACAAGAGTGCATGACTCTTTGGCAAACAGGCCAAATCCTCAAGTTTTTTATTTGTTTATTGGGCCCTGTATGTATTGCGCATACGTAAAACCGGGCGCGTGACTATGTTAACACATGGTTTTGGTCCCGTTATAACATGGCAAGAGCGAAAATAGACGATTTTATGCAATAATTACTTTTAATAATTCTTTTTCTGATGTATTTGACTTTAGAAAAAGTCGAGCGTAGTCCCCGCTAGGCGGTGGCTCTTGTTAAATGAACAAGCACCATTGTAAAGACTCTATTTTTGTGAAAACAATACTTTGATTTAGGTGATTTGTCACGAAATTTTCATTAGACTTTGTGTAATAAAAATATAAATATTGTTTTTTAGAATCGCACATATTGTTCATAAAACTTTTAGGTACCGCAGTATTTTTTACAATATTTATAGGGAAATAAAATAACAGGTAATAATCTGACACCCTTACGACATATTGATTTACGTTAAAGAACGTTACACTATCTGCGATGAGTTTATAGAAACTGGCTTGTTAGTCTATTGATGATGCATAATTATAACGTTCGTTAAGTATGTGAAATATTTGTATTATACACTATTGATTTATTAATAAATTAATATGTACGCATATATGTTAATAGCCAATTACACTTTTTTTAAAAAGAATGTTTGATAATAAGTATGTCAGACTTTTATTTCTACACCCACAAGAAAAACATTGCACTATTTTTCTTGGAGCTTATAAAGAGTATGTAATCACTATTGGTAGTGAATAATTTTATAACTGGACAACATTAAAGGTATATTTACTGTGAATAAGTCCGGGCACAGTATAGAAATTAACGTAATTGAGACATCCTGACCTGTTATATTGCGGAAATAAATATTATTAAACGCGGATTTAAATTTCCGACTCTGCCGTCGCGAAATCATGAGTCTGCGAAATAATTCGGGAAGGGGGTTTTCGCGAAATAAAGATCATGCGGATATAAAGTGATTTAGGATGTAGCCAAAATAAATATTGATTATGAATAACTACAGATAATTATATTGAAAACAAACATTTTTTCATGCGGGACACGTTTATTCATACTGGCTACAACAAGTGTATATAATGCATGACCATTTTTCAATATTAATTATGTCCAAACTAATATTTTGAAAATCAACATTTTTACGATCCAATCTGCGATGAAATACGTTAAATATTGTGATGGTGCAATAACATGCTTGCGTTTCAATTCTGAACTTTATTTTAGATCAGTTTGTATGTCTGAAACAATAAATGATATGAAGGCGTACACGCTTCTTTCCGATGACGTCATTCATCGAATCCTCGGAAGCAATGACAAAAAGCTACAGGAATCCAAAACAATCCTCGAAAATATTCTGAAACGAGATTTGTACAGCTTTGTAGGTGAGAAAAGGTTTCCTGGTGGTACATTTGTCGAAAAGGTATGCATTAAGTTTAAAGCCACTGACCTCCAGATGGTAAAATGAAGAACAAAATGAAATAAAATTTCAATTAAATGATACTGATCTAATTAGGTTTATTGTATAAATCCATCATTACTGACAACTTAATCCAAGAAAGAATGTTGACAAAAGCGTTAATATATCGGATTTTCTTTTCCATAATCTACTACGTTACTTACGCAGTGGCAAATATAAATAGGAGAAGATAATTCATTTAACGCGGTCACCTGTCACAACAGTGATCCTGAAACATCCGGTATGCCCGGGATCGTTTATCATTTTTCCTCATTAAGTAGGCCCCTATCACATTTCAAGCTAAAGGTCAAATCGATAAAATGGCCATCACATATATGACATAATTAATCAATTAAAATTTTTAGTGCCATGAATTACTACAAAAATAAAAACAAAAGCAGTTATTCGTATCCCTATATGTTTGATAAAATCCTGGATTCGGTGTGTTTTCCGGAGCACAGGTCGCAATATTGTCCTGTACGATCACGTAATACTAGAAAAAACCGCGGTCTAATAAAAGAAGGTATTTCCCGTTGGTGGAAACGCGAACTGTTTGTTTTCAGAGCAATTATGTTAAAATATGAACATTTTGAAGTGTCATTTCGATTTCTTTCAACTACATAATGTTTTTAAGGGGGGATTTTGAAATATAAGCAAGACGGCAGTTTTTCTGCTATCTTCTTGAGGTCAGCTGCTTTAAACTGTTCTTTGACGTTTCAGTGACGTTTGAATTTTCATTTAATTTCCAGCTGCGTTAATTGGTTCTAACCCGTCAGGACAATTTTTGTTTTCTTGAGCAAGAAAAGTTATACCCGGATCCGAGGGTGTGTCTATAAGCTAATAGCTTCCTAGACGATAGAACTCAAAATAAATTCGGCATAAACTAATAAGCTGTTTATTATATTTACTTATTTCATTGTATACTTTGATTTACATATATAATACTTGGTTTTTTGAAATAAATTTTATAATTCACATAACTTCTTGAAACGATTGGATCTTGAAATTCAAGCTTTTTACATATTCTTACAAATTGAAAGTCTATCGGTTTTTATTTCATATTTTCAATATTGGGAAAGAGATTAGTATTTTTCTGTTCTTCAGACACAGATTCTGCCAACTTATAATGCTTATAAAGATGAGAATGCTGATAATACAAAAGATGCTGAAAAAGTGATTAGGTTAGGGAAAGTGGATGCTGTTAAGAACGACTTTCAGGAGACATTGAATGGCAAGCCAGAGTTTCACGAGATTATTAAAAGTCTAGATGAATTTGTTGTTTTTGATGTAAGTAAAATATTTTATCAGAGAAGTTATAAAATACCAGCATAGCATAATTATTTGAATTTGAACAATAAAGCCGGGTGTCTTCTTGTCCTTAAATAATTTTCTTGAAACTTCTTTAATTTTCATCTACAAAAAATGATTGTTGGATCTACGTAAAATACTTTGTGATAAAGATGGTGTGGGTATTTGTCACTCCTTTTTTACAATCATCATATAATTATTGTATTCAATTTGTAGTTTCATTGAAACATGTACAAGGTCAACAGTTTTAATTACATTTTTCTTGAGTTAGTGACGACATAAGCTCAGTGGTATAAAGTATTGTTATCTACGTTTTATATGACATATATCATTAATAGTAAATTATATATACATGTATTACAAATTTTCAGGTTGTGGACTTTAGTTATGGTAAAAAGGACAAAGATCCAATAGCTTATGTCAACTTTTACTCCAAGAATGAACCGGACAGTGCAAAACCTATAGACAAAGACGACGTAACTATTTCTTTTTCTTGACCTAATATTAACATGTGATTATTGTGTATGATTGAATATAATGTATTTCATCACGTTGTGTGCCAAGACTGAGAATAAATGCAACTTTATTACTTGATATACACCTGTCTTACGTAATAAAAAAGAGCGCATAAGTAAAAGTTATTTAGGATTATAGATTTTAAAACTGAGCGACCCACCAGAGCATGATTTACATATTCTTTGTAGTGAACCACTGCAACGTGATGCTACATGCCAAATATCTAAGCTTCAGGGATTCTAGTTTTGTAGGGAATGTGTTTAAGATATGTTTACTTGATAAGTCTATATATATACTAAGTGACACCATGGATGGGGAATTTTTTTACCTCAGGGACATGATGTAGTGGTTCAATTCACCATGACCAAAGATGATCCATATTCAAACTCGTCTGAGATATCAATGAGATAAACATTTTCACAAAGTTTGATGATTGTGACCTTTTCAGTGTTAGGATGTTTTTCTGTGGATAATATAATAACATCTTCTTATGATTTTATAACTATAGGTTTCCCTACTACTACCGACACAGTTTGATGAGCAGGTCGTTCGTGTATACTGCAAGAAAGAAAACCAGAAATATAAAGTTGAAATGATGTTCCATGAATGGGCCAGGGAAACTAAGAAAAGTGCAAAGAAAGGAAAACATGATAGCGCTTAGATGTTTATTAAATTATAGCGCTATTGCATGTTAAACCAAACAATGCTACTTTTTGTGTTTTTGTTTTATCCGGAAACAACAATATTCAACATGCACATCGCTTATTACCACGAAATTCACACAATCCTTTGCTTTGCAATTCTGATTATCAATGCCTACATTAATATACACAAGGCAATTAACCCTTAGCCTTCTCACGGCAGTAAATTCTACAAATCTAACCAGTGCAGACATTGATAAGCCGGCATATCTGTATCATCTGATCATGGTCTGCACGTTTCACTATTCAGTCCGTACATATTTTGTAGATTTCCTTAAAATGATGAATGGTTTGGCTTTAATTGACTTCATTTAATAGGCTTTTTAGCATAGCTAGGGTTAAATCGGTATAAGCGATGAACTCATTCATAATATCGTAAAATACATTTTTATACGATTTTGTTATGATTTCGTATTCAGTTGATGTTATTTTATTATATACTTTGTAATATTTTTTAAACAGCAAGCAAATAAAAATCAACAAGTATTTGTTCACAAGTAAATGCATTTAAATACCTTAAACATTGTTATTGTTATTTTTTTAATTTTTTAAAATGAAAAAGAAAACAGAATTAAAGAAATTCTGGACAATAGATAAAACACAGAGAACAAAGAATAAAGAAATAAGTTTTTATAATATATGTACATATGCTTTTTGATATGTTTTATTATTATTATTATTATTATATTACTTTAAAATATTTGAAATTATGTCATGCACACATGTATTTCAGTTTAATAATAGTCAACAATTTGACAAAATGTGTATCAACGAGAACAAGGAAAAAATCGTGATCAAAACGAGATCACCTAATCAGATGTACTAAAATACAGTTTAAGTGTTAATACTTGGTAGATTCTGCGATAATGGCCTGAAAATGTCCATTATGATCTAAAGGGCAAAACGGCATAATGGCAAAAAGTAATCAAATATTAAAGATCCATAAACGTTCACCATAAAAAGCCCGCGACGCCAAAAATCCTGAAAATCTAAACGCTGTCATTCGAACATATAACAACCGTCTGTAAGTAGAAAATGTTAAAAAAAAGTAACAAAACAGGTGTTAAAAGTTTGCATTAAATCATCGCTCAACATTTTTAAGAATAATCCCGAGTCGTGATCTGATTCTGTCGGCAATTTCTCATTTGCATAATTTATGCAATTTATCCCAAAATGCACAGCGACTTATATCAACAACAACAAAAGAACAGAAAAATGTCATGTTTGTCTTCTTTGATAAATAAATATTTGTTGGTCCACAAAGTTATTCCAAAATTGAACAGGCTCAATCAAACCGAGCCTGAAACATTTTCAATTTTGCTGTGTTGCCGCTTTTCATGGAATGGCACTTACGTGTCACATTGAAGGTTCCATGAATGATAACCTCCATATGAACACGTCTGCGGATGTTTCAAAATTCTAAATTGTACCAGTTCATGTTAAATGTTGAATTCTGCCGGTGTTAGGGGTCGTGGACGGTAAAAAAATTGGACTTGACAGAACCGTCCAGGAACAAGCTTAATCAAACCGAGCCTGCAACATTTTCAATTTTGCCGTGTTGGGCTTTCTCTAGGGATTCTCACCCGCTACGCTTTCCTCTTATAATTACCTCTGACGGACTAAGTGGGAGATTTATGATGGACAGTTCTTAAAGCTATTTGGGACTGAATTATCTTAATGTTCGTCTTCTGTCTTGCTTCGTCGTTATTTACACTTTCATGTCATTCAGGAACATATTGGGGCTAAGAGACGAGGAATAAACACTGAAATGGTGAAATTTGGAATATAAAAACATCCGCAGATGTGTTCATACGGCGGTTTTCATGGAACCTTCAATGTGACACAGTAGTGTCATTCTATGAAATATGATAAACAAGATCAACAAGGAAAGGCGGCGTTCAATGAACGCAACCCCCATATGACCCAGCAACAAGAACCAATGGCAAGGAGCCCAGGCGGACCCCAAACAAAAACAGGGCAAAGACAGAGCACGGACAGGTTAATCATTAAATGAAAAATAATTTGTAACTGATTAGGAATTCAAAGAAAATAATAATAGGCCCACTAAGGCGGCGTATGGTCCCCAAGTAAAAGAATGCGTGTGCCCTAAACGAAAAACAATGGGCGGAACTAAATAAAATGGAATTTTGAAAGGGGATCTGAGGTTATGAAGCCTGCATATCACAGATAAGACGTCAAAAGACAAATTTAAAAAGCAGGCAACATATCCTAAGGGTGATTATACAGTATTCAAGTAGGAATACTGGAACCACCCAAATTGAAAAAGGCCAAATACAAGAAACTAAAAATACCATGTAAAATGTATACACAACAATAATGTCGTTCTGAACGATCTTCATGGATCGAAAATATAACTTTTTCTTGGAATTGCTTTTAGTGATTTATCTTCCTCAGAGTTAAAACAAACCAGCTGACGCGCATGGCTAATTTTTTTGATGTGAAGTAGATTATGTTATTTTGCTCAATTCGTTAAATACAAACACATATATTAATGTTATATTATCCAAGATATTATATCCTCCCGCTGAATCTCATAAGACGGATTCTTATTTACCTGTTCAAAACAAAAAGGGGTTTGCATGAAATTTTGGCGGGATTTTGTTTACATTTTACAAGTCTATCAACATTAAAACAAAGTGGCTCACATCCTCTTTTAGTTGCATTAGAATGTTTTGAGACAATTTTTTGACCGAAAATTTCAGTGTATATAATTTAGGAATTGACTAAATGTTGCATTTAGTTGTTGACAAAAATATTTTCAATGACGTCACTGATGATGCGTGCGGCGATTGTATTTGAGTGTGTCTTTGCAGTTTTATAAAATATGATAAACAAGATCAACAAGGAAAGGTGGCGTTCAATGAACGCAAGCCCCACAAGACCCAGCGGTAAGGAGCCCAGGCGGACTGGACCCTAAACAAAAACAGGACAGGGCACAAGGCAGAGCACGGACAGGCTAATCAATAAAATGATACATAATTTGTAACTGATACGGAATTCAAAGAAAAAAATAAATGATTGAGTAATAGAAAATAATTTGTAACTGAAAAGTAATTCAAAGAAAACAAATAAATGCCACACAATATGATAAACAAGATCAACAAGGAAAGGCGGCGTCAGGTAGAAACAACATCGCGGTAAAAATCAGGCTGGCTTATACTTCTTTAGGTAGCTTATTGCGCATTTTAGATTCTTGTCTTAGAAAAACATGTGCTCTTGACGTAGTTTATGGTGCATCGGAAACGCGTTTGTTTCCCTGTCCCATTTAAATGCATTCATCCAGTATTGCCAATAAATTTGGTGATTATAGCATAGATGTCTAGTAAAAAAATTTCGGTCACCACTTTTCAAAATATTATTGCGAAGTCTTTGGAATAGTCCATAATAAATACAAGTTAAATGTTGATGCTGCACATCAAAGACACCGCCAAATGGTGTGAACAGTCACAGCTAATGTACAAAATCAGAATTGAAAATCGTTCTCTATTACAGTTGAATATCCGAAGCACTAATTATTTTTTTCTCCATGTTCTCGGTATGTGTCTGAAATTCTGAAATGTTTGTCTGTTGCGACAAAGATTGAAATGTCTGGGCGAAGCAAAATGAATTGGATAACAAGTGAAATTGAAATAACTGGTAAACTTCCCCTTTCAAAATTCCATTTTATTTAGTTCCGCCTATTGTTTTCTCGTTTAGGGCACACGCTTTTTATTACTTGGGGACCATACGCCGCTTTTCATGGAATGGCACGGAAGTGTCACATTGAAGGTTCCATGATAACCGCCGTATGGACACATCTGCGGATGTTTCTAAATTCAAAATTTTACTATTTCATGTTTAAATGTTGAATTCTGCTTAAGCCGGTGCTAGGGGGCGTGGACGGTAACTTGCACTTTCCAGTATCGTCTATGAACAGGCTCAATCAAACCGAGCCTGCAACATTTTCAATTTTGCCGTGTTGGGCTTTCTTTAGGGATTCTGTATTTATCTATTTTAAAATAAATTCAAGACAATATGTGCCGAGAATATGTCAATTTGAATATTGGTGTGAATTGCATAATGTTCGAGTGATTTTGAGGACGAACTGTCTGTTATTTTACGAATAGCGTAAAAATATGTCTGTGATATCAAAAAATAGTTATGAATAAATTGATATATATAATCAATTCTTTGTTACGTATTGTTTACTTGTTTATAAGAGATTAAACTACTTGAATAAACACAAGATTGCATTTTCGCATGTAATAAAAAATCTAGACAAAAGAGAACAATCGTCGGTCACAGAATCCTTCAAAATAACCTATTGCAAATATTTGTGATACGTTTTAAAATAAACGTACTTTTTTCACTCAGTTAATATGATTTATAACTTAAATGCTAATTATTTTAATGAATTACATGTCGGACATGTTTTGCCTGTCTGCAAAAAATATTTCCGCTGCGTCCGTAGCGCCAAAGTAATCTCCGTTGCGTATTTTAGTGATACCTCTTGTTCCCTGTCCATCATTAGACTATAGTCGGGTCTGTGTTGAGCTAAGGGTTGGGGGAGAACCGCCTCTCTGATAATGGGCGTGGTTTAGGCTTTGCCAAAAAGGGTTTGTCATTTTCCATAACCTCTGATCCCCTTTCAAAATTCCATTTAATTTAGTTCCGCCCATTGTTTTCTCGTTTAGGGCACACGCATTCTTTTACTTGGGGACCATATGCCGCTTTTCATGGAATGGCACTAACGTGTCACATTGAAGGTTCCATGATAACCGCCATATGAACACATCTGCGGATGTTTCAAAATTTTAAATTTTACCAGTTCATGTTAAATGTTGAATTCTGTTCAAGCCGGTGCTAGGGAGCGTGGACGGTGGTTTGCACTTGACAGTACAGTCCACGAACAGACTCAATCAAACCGAACCTGCAACATTTTCAATTTTGCCGTGTTGGGCTTTCTTCAGGGATTCTGTATTTATCTATTTGTAACTTGTAATTTAATAATTCGTCAAGATATATTGATCATAATTGTCCAAGTTTCCCTCCCCCACTAGCATATTGAATTTGGCAACAATTTAAGGCGGAGAGGCGGAGCAAATGAAGTGAGTGACACTGCTTCAGTCGTTACCTCTCTCAACGGTTAAGTTTTAGAACGATCGACTATAGACTGGCTCATTTGGACGTTATTTATTAGGTAGATAAAATTAGATAATTATAAAAAGAAGATATTCACACATGACAATATCACTTCAGTTAAAAGTTTATTTTAATCCCTTAAAGCTCTGTGACATGCAGTACATCAGAAAAGCTTTTTTATTAGAAAATTTGAAACCAATGTGATTTTGTTAAAACAAAAAAAAAAATGCACAAAATCAAGTCTAAAATTTTCCCCATTGCTATACCGACAAATGCATATCTACTAGACGGCGCGTGCACGCGCCGTCTAATAATTTCTGGTTCATTTGGCTTTTATGGTTGAAAA